GTCGATTTTCGAGAGTTCTGTTTTTTCTAAAACAGTTCTCGTATAGTATTTGTCATGTACAATGAGTTTCCAAAGAGTTCTGATAATTAAAACTCTTACAAATTATTTTAATTAATTATTTTACCCGAAAAACATCTAATATCGACTGTAAAGGTGAGACGCCAGTTGATTTTCGACAGTTCTGATTATTATAAAGTAGTTCTCGTATAGTATTTGTCATGTACAATGAGTTTCCAAAGAGTTCTGATAATTGAAACTCTTACAAATTATTTTAATTAATTATTTTACCCGAAAAACGTCTAATTTCGACTGTAATGGTGAGACGCGTCTCACCTTTAGAATTCAATACTAGACAATAGACAAATACTATACGAGAACTGTTTTAGAAAAAACAGAACTCTCGAAAATCGACTGGCGTCTCACCTTTAGAGTGGAAAATAGGCGTTTTTCGGGTAAAATAATTAATTAAAATAATTTGTAAGAGTTTCAATTATCAGAACTCTTTGGAAACTCATTGTACATGACAAATACTATACGAGAACTACTTTATAAAAATCAGAACTGTCGAAAATCAACTGGCGTCTCACCTTTACAGTCGAAATTAGATGTTTTTCGGGTAAAATAATTAATTAAAATAATTTGTAAGAGTTTTAATTATCAGAACTCTTTGGAAACTCATTGTACATGACAAATACTATACGAGAACTGTTTTAGAAAAAACAGAACTCTCGAAAATCGACTGGCGTCTCACCTTTAGAGTGGAAAATAGGCGTTTTTCGGGTAAAATAATTAATTAAAATAATTTGTAAGAGTTTTAATTATCAGAACTCTTTGGAAACTCATTGTACATGACAAATACTATACGAGAACTACTTTATAATAATCAGAACTGTCGAAAATCAACTGGCGTCTCACCTTTACAGTCGAAATTAGACGTTTTTCGGGTAAAATAATTAATTAAAATAATTTGTAAGTGTTTTAATTATCAGAACTCTTTGGAAACTCAATATACATGTCTAATACTATACGAGAACTGTTTAGAAAAAACAACTCTCGAAAATCGACTGGCGTCTCACCTTTAGTGTCGAAAATAGACGTTTTTCGGGTGAAATAATTAATTAAAATAATTTGTAAGAGTTTTAATTATCAGAACTCTTTGGAAATTCATCGTACATACCCAGAACTATACGAGAACTACTTTATAATAAGCAGAACTGTTAAAAATTGACTGGCGTCTCCCTTCGACATCTATAGATACAGGTATCCGATTATCTTAATTTTGGTTAAATTAATATTTTCTGCTTTTAGAAGGTAGAACTCTTCTTAGAACTCATGTAGAACTATAGATCTTTTCATTTCTGATCATTTCTGATACGGAAAATGTCGTAGGACAAAGTGAGACGCTGCGTGAAGTTGGCGTCTCACTTTGCACTAAGCAATTTTTTGGCTTTAACGAGCAGAACTATGTGTTTTACCTATCAGGAACTCTAGAACTATTAAAAAGGAAGTCAGAACTCTCAAAATATAATGAGTTTCCGCAAAATGATACGCCAACTTCACACACACACATATTCCTATAATTAAATCAGTGGTTTCAAAAAAAGACATGAGTTAATTTTTAAATATAAAACTGTTTTCAAACATTAAATGATAAAATTAAAAAATATTTCACAGATAATGTTAGTTTACGAAAATTGATTTAAAAATTTAGAAAAATTAAAGTATTAAAAAGTTTTTATTAAATGTTTAAAAAATAAGATTTTTTAATTTTTTTTTGTACAACTAATTCGTTACAAAAATTCTTCAATGATATATTAATACAATACAATAGATGTGTAATACAATAGATATTGTTAACATTAAAATGCTAAAATATAATAATATTTTTCATATATAGGTATAATGTCTTAATAATAATTAATTTATATTCTCGCAGCTTTTTCCTTAACTATTAGTACCAATCTTTTTCTATACAAAGTATCAATTAACGTATAATGCGACTCGCTGATTTAGCGAAAGCATCAGTGTTTCATTAATTGAAGCATCTATGAGTCATGAGCGCGAGTGCATCCGAGACATGGTTGCACTTCGGAGAGTCGAGAACGGCATCGCGTCACGTCGCATCGCATGTATGGTTCAATGGACCCGCGCTACATAATCGCGGCTTGCAAAATTATGCGTTCTGAGAATGCGGTGCGTGTATACAACGTGACTCGATAAAGACGCATTTAAAACACAGCAACGCACCGTTTAGAGTTGAGCGCCACTATATAACATAAGTAAAAGAGCCGTGTCGAGGGGACTCGAAGGAAAGAGAAGAATCATTTTCTTCGCTGAATAATTATGACAGTTTGGAGAAAGCGAGGCGCGCCTACGCTATATAACTGCACTACCTTTCGTCGCTCGTTGTTCACAGCCGTATCAAGATTATTCGCGTGCTCATACTGCCGCATTTCATCGCGGATTATCTGCGATAACAAGACATGGATTTGGATTTACAGCAGCAGAGAAAAAGTGCTATAATAATCAGACTTTCTCTATGTTGGACATCAAATTATTTAATAGAGATAAAAAATTGATAAAAAAAGAGAAACGATGAAAAAAATAATGCAGAGATATGCACGATGTGTGTTTAATAATTTAATTTTATATGAATCCGATTGTGCATATATAAGAGTTCCCTGCGAAGTTAATATAAAATTGATGAGTTAAATATTTTCCAGATGTTTTAAAAAACTTATTTTCTTAAAATTATACTGTTGTATAAATTACTGTCAAAATACGTCGTATAAGAGACAATACTATCGTCATTATTAATCAGATGGTGGCAAGTTGCATTTGCTCTTAGCTTCCATATATTTATACGCGATGCGAAATTACTGCAGAATCCCTTCAAAATATTTGTCCGCGATAGGAAAATCTTTCACAGAGAATATTAGCTCGAGGCTTCTACGTGCTGTGGACATGCACGGTCGAGCACGGTGGCATTGCACGCGTGACGTTACATCGTAGTTAGATAAACCCCATTGAAACTCGACGTGGCCGGACGACAGGACGTTGCAGCGCGTCGCGACTATATGACCGTGGCATATAGTAAAGTTCGCGCAAGCAGCCGACAGTAAATTCAAATTAATTATGGCAATGACATATCGTGCTGCGCCGTAACGTAAGGGAAAAGAAAAAAGATTACGCGAGAGCGAAACTTCAATGATACGCAACGAGAGTGGAAAAAAAACTGTTCGAAGAAATATACATAGTTTTATGGTTTATTTGTATAATAAATTAATTATACAAAAGATAAAAAAGTCGAAACATTTAAAATGTTAAGTTAAAAAAACTTTATTTGCGAGGTTTTAATAGAAGTGCATTATGTTTTAGCATTAAATATGAATTATACTGGACTAGTCTGACATCTGGTTCCAGTTTGAATTCATTTTTAGACCAGTTTTTGGATTCAATTACTTATATTAGTAAACTAATTGATTATTGAAATTTTTATAAATTATTGAGATTTATTCAGTACATAAATAAAAAATAAGTGATAAATAAAACATAAATAAATAATAAATAAAATATAAATTATAAAGATAATATCAATTCGTTTGTAATCTTGGCTAAGTACAGTTTAATTTAACTCAATTTTCTAAATGCACTTTTTCACGTGAATGTTTCGCATTTTTTTGCACGTAAAGTTCAATTTGATATAAAGGAGCGAGTTTTCGTCCTCTACGATAAGAAAGCGATATAAAAAGCTCACTATTGTTGAGTACCGGTTGGCCTTTCGGTTCCTTTTTCGTAAAGCTCCTCTTTTAGACGAGGAACGACTATGCTTCAAATTTCAAGGCGATGCCGAATCCGACGATATTCTAAACACGACTCAAACATGCCATGCGGAAGAAAAGGAAAAAATATAGTAGGCACTTTGCGTCTGTCCAGCTCGTTACCCTTCCGCGATCGCAATCTATCACGGAACGAAAAGCAAGGGTAAGGCACCGTTTCGCGACGGTCACCGTCGAGAAGAGGCGGATGACGATTCTATCATGTCGCGTTGCGAACTTCCGCGACGGGATGATTAAAGCGATTAATGAGCGAATTTTTCTTTCGTAGTCTCGCGTAGAAATAAAGTCAGACGGCGAAACCATATATGATAAATAGTACAAAAAGCATAAATATTAATGATGGAAAGATAGAACTTTTTTTGTTTATAAAATGTATTTATTTGCTTCAGTTAAATTGTGCCATTAAAATTTTTAGAATTAAAATTGTAGAATCTGATTAATTTGATGTAATGCAATATATATTATTTCACTTCTAATTTTAGATTTTGCATATAACTAACTTGTTCCTAGCTTGTCAAGTTAAATCTAGAATATTAACACACACGATAAGTTTATCAATTAATATAAAAATATTATTTTATATAGTATCACAGAATATATATATAAAAGAAATTATATGGATCGAAAGAAATGTAAAAAAAGAGTTTTGATGTTATTAGAGAATATTTTAGATTAATTTTGTGAACACATTAAAAGTTTTCATTTGAAGTATATAAGATAATGCATTACAATGCAATTTTTTGTGCATTGCACAAATAAATAAAGAAATATCGCGTGTAGGATTTCTGCATCAAAAAAATAAATGGGATAAGAGTCAAAACACATTGCGATGGGATAAAAGCGACAAAACACACACTCGGGAACAGCTGCAGAGCAGCAACGTGACTTTCATTCTTTGCGCTTATTCTTATGCAGCACAAGAACGCTGCACTTGAGCGCACGCTGGCACAAATCGGCCAATCCCGGCATTACGATTTTTATTCTTTGTCGCATCGTGCTCAAGTACAATACTGAAATCTTTCAGTGGAGCAAATCCGAAAGATATACAACGTACGATAGCGACACTTCCGTGTGTGGAAAATTTAAAAATAGCTACGTGAGCAGTATATCAGAAGTGATAAGCGTCAATTTTCGATTAAGTGATAAAGTGTGCAGACTCACCTTCCTGATTGGGATTGTTGGTGTTCGGATGTGACGAAGTCAGGGAAGACGGTGTCTCGTCCTCAGCGACGCCCATCGTCGTGGCTGCTGTTTGCTGATGATGCGTCTCCACTTCCGTCGCCTCTTCACACCTGCGCACATCAGTTGTAAAAGATTTATATTAACATGATTTTTACATATGTACATTTGGGTAATCAAATAATTTTTATCACAAGACCACACATATTTTATATACTGACATCGAGAAATAGACGCTCTTCTCTTTATACAATTTTACTTCGACATTTTAATAAATTTTTTAGATAGACTATTTCTTTAAGCAGAGAGAGATTTTTTTAAATGTAAATTATTTTTAATGAAATCAATAATAGTTGTGTTTCTTCATTACTTTTTATAATTATATTATTGCGTGTAAGCTGAGTATACCATTTATTTTACATAATTTTCAAGATACATAGGAAAATATAATTTACATCGACTGTAACACATACAATTCGATATGCATCGATTCAGTTTTGCTCTCATTTGTGCATAATACACTACATGTATCATGATGTTTTAATTGTCATTTGAAACAAATTCACCGTATTATTGTATTTTGTACTCGTAAAAAAATAAATATAGATATAAGAGATACCGCGCTGAGTTTCTAGTTTCTATCCAATTTAACTAACTTCTCGATATTGTGCAAGTATCTGCATATCAAAATAATGATACCAAGATATGATATTTGCGATATTTCTATAAAAGTAAAAAAATATAAAATTACCAGTGACTCAATAATTTCAAAAACAGAATAAATAAATCACTAGAAGAGCGTACTAAAATTGATTTAAAAATACAGTGTGCTCTAATATAAGATTTATTTACCAGCAAAACACATCAAAAGATTAAAGATAAAAACAAGAAAAAAATAGAAAAGAGTTAAAGGAGGCTTGTCACACAATAGCAAACAATTCGATGGAAATCGAATATCGCGGAAATTTGATGCTCGATGGTCGAGGATCGTTGCATTTCACCGTGTACGCGTAACCCGCGCACTGCAGTGATCAGAGAAGCATTCATTGGATCACAGCTTCCGCCACAATCTCCCCTTTCTCTCTCTCTCTCTCTCTCGCTCTCTCTCTCTCTCTCTCTCTCTCTCTCTTCTCTCTCTCAATAAATATACATATACAATACATATACATATATTTCTCTCTCTCTCTCTCTCTTTTTTCTATATCATTTTTGTTATCTGATGAGTGTTTCTGGACAGCGCATTTGTGCGCGTGCGCGTTTATTGTCGCGAATATAATTACGCTTTCGTGCAATTATGCACGCGGGTCATTGCAACGCAATGTAGCGCACACGCAGTGCACCATGCGTATTGCGGCGGCGGCGGCGGTGGCAACGACGTCGTCATTCGAGCACAGTCCGGTCCGCGAAATAGAGACGACGACGCGCAGCTATAACGGTATGTTGACCTCCGACGCCAATTGCTGCCTTGCTCGCACAACGCACACGGATATGATACGAACTGCACACCGGAGAGAATGTGTGCGACGCGCATTGACTTTTCGGACCGACACCGATTGTGTATCGATTAATCGGCGATATGCGATACAAGACAAATTTTTTTGTGATATATATTCGAATTTTTATGCACAAAATAAAATCGAGTGCATCGTATATAATTAGCAAGATATAAGATATTTATGACAAGCTTCGTAAAAAACGTCAGAAAAATTTTGTAATTCTTAATATAGATACATATATGAAAAAACATTGGCTTTTTTATTTATTTTATATTTCTGATTTATTTTAAATTTTTTAATAATTTTTCAGAGAAAAATTTAATTAGACATTTTTAATTCAATTCAATATTCAATTTTGTAATAGAGTTTTTGTTAGAAGTTTTAAGAGAATATTTTGCAAATATATTCATGGTAAGAAATTCTAAATATTTTTATGCATTGTATATTTAAGTACAAAGATAAAATTCATATATGACGTTAATTATAATTCTATTTTTATAATAATTTGTATGATAAAAATATCCAATAATGTAAATATAAGTAGAATATACAATATTATATTTTCTGCTTTACATACAAGATACATTATAAATTGTATAGTAAAATTGTTATCCATTATAAATAATGATTGTTAAAACCGAAAGGTTTAAAATATGAAAAATGTTCAAAATTCTCTCTCTCTCTCTCTCTCTCTCTCTCTCTCTCTCTCTCTTCTCTCAAGGAATTTGATTTTATTCAGAATTAATTTTTTTCGGAAAGATAAAGAAATTCTTTTGTTCAGAATTTAAGGCATATCATGAAATTTCCCCATTTCGTTTTCAAGAAATCGACAATATCCGATGATTCATATTGCGACCTTGTTGCTTAGTGAGCGAAAGTTAAATATAGCTAATAGCTACACAAAAGAATATATTCATGTGCATATATTCATTTTGTATGCACCAATCAAATAGCATTTTAAGTAGCAATTTAATTCTTTTCGTTGCAAAGAATGTATATAAAGAATATCCTTAAATCTAACTTAAATATTAATATTAATAACATGCTTTGAGAAATTATCAAGTCATAATCTCAAGTAGTTTTCTTTTCATAGAAAATATCGATCCTGAATTTAAAATGAGCTTTACTTGTAATTCATATTTTTAAACACAAAAACAATTATAACTATATATATATATATATATATATATATATATATATATGGAGATAATTGCAAATTAAAAATAAGAAAATAATTATACTCAAATATCAATAATTATTTTTAATGAAATTTTTATCGTTTTTTTCTCCTATTATAATTCGTAACAAAGATGAAACCTTTCTTACGATTTATGCACTCAGATTACTTACAATCGATAAGGGAAAGCAGACGAGGTAAGACATCATCGCTGTAAGTCAAAACAAGCTATACGATGCGAATCGAAATTGAAAGTAAGCTCTAACCATGGATCGTGATTATTTCTAACAATACGACCAATGCTGTGCGTGATCTTTTTGCTAATAATATTGTAAATAATTCTGATTGAACCGCAATAGATCGCGTTTCACGTATCACGCGATGAAACATTGAATCAAATTAAATTTTTTCGCTCCATACTTTCGCATTTATATGTAAGGAGCTGTATAATAATTTCAAAATAATTGAATTTTAAAATAACTGCAATTTCAATTTTAATTTAATATTATCACTATTTATTGCAGATTTTATGAGCGTGCAAATATATATTCGTTCATATTTTATTAATATATGTATATATATTCTGATTTTACAAGTATCATTTAATACTATATTATATAAATTGATAAAATAAAGTTACTGCTGTTTATCTATATCATTGCACATGAATTTCTTAAATTACAAAACAAAATTAATGGAATATCTTTTCGGATCTATTCTAAAATTTTATTATTTTATAATAAATAGTAATTTCATAGTAATATCAAATATATGCATGAATAAATAAATTTAATAATCCAATAAAACTTATTGCTCTTTTTCCTAGAAAAGTAAACTAATTAACTTTATTGAATACTCCGAAAAATGTAAACTATATAAACATTTCGTTCATATTAAATAGCTTGCATAACAGTTTGACGGAATCAAACAGTTTGCCTGTGCGTTTCAGTTTAGCAGAGGCATTTCGTGTACCTAGAGAACGTCGTAGTTTACTTTATGGAAAGCATTTCAGAGGTCAAACCTGATTCTGAACATTGCGTATAATTTTCTTATCGCGCTTACAATAATACAGTAACGTAACGTGCACTTGCGTAATAACGTAACATGCAACGATTACACGAACTGATTTACTGATCTTCGCATTCTTTACCTCTTACTCGCGATACCATATTTATTTGCCACGTCATATAATACAAGGGAGAGAAAGAGAAAGGATACATGGAAATTATATATTGCGTTAATTATAATTCTATAAATCGCACGCTCATATAATCCTAAAGTACAGAGTGCAACAATGCATCGTAGACCAATGTAAGAACCCGCCACTTCTCTGAAACGCTCGCAAAAGAAATTGGCAGAGCGTAGCTGCATAAAACAGCTCTTTCTCTCTTCTTCTTTCTCCTCACTCCTGTCTCTCTTTCCCCATCTCGTTTTCTCCCTACGTCGAGACTCAGGTCGTTTCTCTCCCGGCCAACGACCGTCCACCTTCAGTTTTGTACCCTTCCAGACAGCACGCGCCTTATACGTCGACAGGTAGATGCAACGTTCGAGATATATACGCGTCCAGGTGGTCTGACGATAAGGACCAACGATCGAGCGGAAACTATCTGGTCGACGTTATTGTTTAGAGCGCTTTATGGATCGTGTTTATACGTATAAAATTTTTTGTCCAGTTCTCTAAATCCAAATTGATTAAATTCGATTAAATAAAAATTTCATTTACGTTTGTGCCACTTCTAGTTTTTTTTATTAAATTATACATTCGAAAATTAAATCAGATGAGTTCCACAAAAAAGGTTAAGAAATCATACACGGTAAAAACATTTCGTATTTTTGTTGAAATTCTCTTGTGTAGAAATTTTTGCGTTAAATTTTTTACATACTCTTATGTTAATATAACATATTGTCGTTATGTTATTTTGACATTTGTCTGTTGAGTTAATATCACTATTTTTAAGTGTTAAAACAACACAATTAAATGAAAATGTACGAATTTTTGCTTATATTATATTTTTATTTTATATTTTTGTGTTATTTTTTCACATATTACGTGTGTTATTTATTTACATATTTGTCTTCTGTTAAAATGACATTAAAATTAGAGTAGATAAATTGAGACATGTGAAATGTGTTAAATTTACATAAATTTTTTTACTGTGTTGTATGTACAACATTAGTATATATTTTAGTTATAAATATAAATAATATTGACTCACTTTATTTTCTTAAGATTCTATTTCATGTAAATATTTTTTGAATTCAAATATTAAATTATAGTAAATAAATGTAGAGAAAATAGATGTAGAGTTGAAATTTTTTACATAAAATTTTTAATCCAATAATAATAAATAATATTAATGCCTAAATTTGAGAATGATTGCAAGACAGTTAAAATTAAAATCCAATTGATTTAATTAATTGATGTGTGTGACTGTAAATAAGTCTTTAATATTCTGTACAAATCGACAATATACTCTTTACATTCGTCAAATATTATCTTTAAGCATTTACAATTTACAACAACGAAAATATATGTTTCCCAATAATGTCCCCGATACTTCTCTCTCACAATACTCTAGTCTCTGTACTGCCATTCATCCGGTTTATTCTTTACATCGGCTTTTCTCAATTGATCCCTCATGTATAATTTTGTAACTTAACTCCTTCTTATTTCTCACATCTTACTCCAGTTGCACGCGAGAGCGAATCGCGATTAGACAAGAAGAGAACCGCGGACAGGAAGGGTACAAAGGAAGAGGATAGAAATGGCGAAAGGAAAGGAAGGGGACAAGAGGACGGAGTAGATCGTCCCTTTTGCAAAAAGCGCGTCCAAAGTGTCGGCCGACCGTTTCCACGCGCGCATGTACCTGTCACGTATATCTCCTTAAATGCGGCGCTAGAGAAAGAGAAAGACACAGACAGACGGAGAGAAAGAGCGCACATGTGTGTCGAACACACGAATGGAGCAACGGCGCGCGCACTTATACCGATGCGCATGCACGCGCGAGCGTAGGCGACGTCTTATATAAGGTGTCCAAGAATTGACAGATAAGTGGAATCTCGAAATCGAGTTTTTCTTTGAACCTGTCAGAGAATTAATTAAGGCCCCTGTGTCCTCACTGCGACCAAATTGAATTATAATGTCAGAAGGAAAAAAATTATAAATTTTATTGCGAAATACATGGAAATAATTTTTTTTTTTTAATACGATCATCTCATGTTCGATAATTAATTAGATAGAAATATTTCGAAAACTTTTTTTTATTCATGAATTAATAAAAAATCAGCCTTTCGCTGAAAATAAATTTTATAGTAGGTACTCTTGATCAAGAGATATTTATTTTTAATAATTGCACAAATGTATAATTATTTATTAATTTGAATTTAAAAAAAGTTTTCGATATATTTTATTAATTCATATTATCGAACACGAGTTCGGAAAAAAAAATTTATTTTGATATACTTCGCAAGAATAAAACTCATGATTTTTCAGTTCTATATTGAAAAAAAAATTTGTTAACTTGGCTAAACCTTTCAACTAAATATTATTTTGTTAATTAAACATATAAAATATTTTAATTAAATATAATATTAAATCTAACAAAATCTATATTTTACTTAAATACAAATCACACAAAATAATAATTTAGTTGAAAGGTTTAGTCAAATTAACAATTCTTTTTCTTTCAGCGTGACGTTATAATTCAGTAGGTATGTGTACGTGAGGTCAATAAGCAGGGACAAGCCTTAATAACGACATATTATTCATCATCCAATTTACTTTCCTAGCTTTCCTTTATTACCCTCGCGAGAGGTTCTATTTGAGATTTGACTCGTATATATATATACCGTATATATATACAATAATATCAAAGTCTCAATAATCAAAATTTAAAGAGATCAGTAAATTTTCATTATAGAAAAAAATGTGTCTCACCAAATTATTTTCCGGAGAAGCGCTCACAAAATATTCGTCAGAAGCTATCGAGACACCTTATATATCCACATTCACAAAGCGCATACAGACGAAACACAAAACGCGCGCATACGTGCATGCACACGCCACTCGCACATACATACATACATACATGTATAGGTAGAAAACCTGCATGTACAGCGAACCGGTTCGTGTTTATAACAATAAACCGTCGACGAGGCCACGACGTTAACCGTCGAGGAAACCCTTTCTCTCTCGTAGGGCCATCACTCGCCATAGCTCGTTCGTGCTCGCGAGCGAAAGAGAGAGAGAGAGAGAGAGACTCGATATATACCGCAAAAGCAAATGTACTCACATCTTAATGCCCGGTGGCGGACCACATTCGTGGGCAGGAGAAGGACGTTCCGTGGCTGGATGTAAGTAGGTATCGCGATTGTCGTCGCCGCCGCTCCCGGCTGCTGCTTCGCGCGTATTATCCGCGAGATACGTCACTGTATCGTGATCCGTTCCCTCCTGCCACCCCGTGTCGGCAGGGATATCGTCACTCGCGTGAACGGCCGCACACAGGTATCGTACTACTACTACACTACAACTTACATGTACACTACTTATACGATACGCGCACTCCCGAACTCGTTCGCTCGGCCAGGTTCGCAACGTCGTTCGTTCGTTCGTTCGGATGGACGGAAACCCGTCCGTTCTCTCGCTTGGAAAACGCGAAGGTGAGAGAAACCAGCCGGGTCGGTCCGGGAAGCGCGCAGACACGCGAATTTCGAGAAACGCTCGACGTCTCGCCCGTAAAAAAACGCGGATGCACGTTTACGCAGCGCGTTGCACGCGCGCTCCGACACGCAGAACGCCGAAAATCCCGAGCAGAATATTGACAAATACCTCGGCGTCGCGCGACACTGTCGTCGCCTGCCTGTCTCGCCGCGGACTCGCTCGCGCCACCGCGCGGCCGCTGTCCTAACTAACACAGACCGGCCATGTTCTGTCATCGATCAAGTGTATTGCAAGAGATTCGCGCGGGACGGATTTCATGATAACCCGGGAAATGCGATATGATTGATGGTCGGTAACATCGCTAGCGTGCTTATAGATATTGGAGAGAGAGAGAGAGAGAGAGAGAGAGCGAATTAAACTATTTATACAATTATTTTTAGAGTCATAATATAAGAAAAATTGGAATTTAATATATTAACATTATATATACTTTATAATTATATTGACATGAAATAAATAATGTTGACATTAGTTTAATAATAAATATATTAATTGAATAATTAATTAATTGATTTATTAAATAATATTGACATTATTTAATATATGTATAGACGATGTCAGTAATAGGTAAAAGTGCGGTGCGAGAAACATTGCTGAAAATAAATAACAAATAAATCACTTGCCATGTAGTTGCTCTGATGTCGCCCGAAGCCACCCTGGGCCTCCTTCCTCCTCGAAGATGAAGCACTTGCACTTCGAAACACTTGCACTCGCGTTACTTTTTTCATTTGCGACGAGCGGCGACGTCCGGGTTTGATCTGTCACATTTTCGACGAGTTTAAACGCGAGAGCTTATTCGCGCACGAAACCGATGCTCCATTATCACGTCGCCGCTTTCCTCAAGCGTCACTCATCGGAAGACCTGATGTCGAACAACGAAGGTGACTTCTCCGCGATGCACTCGGAAGTCGCCGATATTCCAGAATTGGAACTACACTTCACTGTATATGTTTTTTTATCTCACAGAACTCGACGATGTCGCGAAAACACTGTCACTCGTTCGGCGGAAAATTCTTCGGCGACAACGAGAAAATGGCGGCCCGGCCATTGCCGGACTCGACCCGATTTTCACGAAGAATACGAGCTTTATTCGTAGCGTGCCGATGCTCGGGCACGATGACACGGAAGTACGACCGGAAACGCGCAATCGCCTATATAGAATACACGCGAGAACGCTGAAAAACTCGGAAATTTCGGCGTGGAAGAGCCCGGTCCCCGCGATCCGACTCCCGTGACCTTCCCGCGCGAACTGTTAGGCTGTGACGCAGCTGTGACGTAGCCGTGACGCAGCTGTGACGTAGCTGTGACGTAGCGCGCGCTTGGGAGAAGGAACGTTGAGCGAGATTCTGGGCCAAATTGACGCGATGGATTTCGCGCGATTGAGACGCCAGGACACGCGACACGATCGAATCTGCGTATTAATTAACGACGCGAACACGCTAATTAAGACGCACGCTCGTACTTTTCGCGTAATTTCGGTGATTCGCTAATTAATATATTCACATTCGCGTACTTGCACGGACCGATGTTAAACCCGCGACCGTTGATTGCGAACAATAGAAAGTTTATCAGAGGGCACCAGCATTCTACACTGTGTGTTCGGAAATGTATTCACCCAGAGTGACGCGATTGACCAATCAGGACAAAGATCCTCGGTTTCTGATTGGTCGATCAAAACGCTGTCACAATTGCAATGTCAAGAATTAAATAATCAAGTGGACAATCTATGTATTTATTTAATCATTGACAGCTGACGGTATATCGCGCCTTTACTGTGTGTCGTTGCATACTGCTTGTTATTTTATTTTCTTCCTGAATATATATTGTATATTTATTAATATAAGTGACAGAAAGATCATTTTAATATCTTGGTAAGTAGTGCATTAATATATGCTGTATCAAAATCTGGTGAATTTAGTGCGTTTAATGTAAATATTATATGTACTGGCTTGCAAAATACATTCACATTAAATGTTTATATCGGAGGGAGGGTTTCATATTTTTTTTCATATTAGATTTTGAAGAGAGGAATTGATTAAAATTCTAAAATTACTATTTAATTGTTGAATAATAAAATATCAAGTTTTTATGTATGTATAAATCTGTGTTTGACAATATATATGTGCTAATATATCTAATACTCATGTATTTTTCCAAATCAGGCCAAATAATGGATAATATCTTGGGAAGGAAGATTCTGGAGAGGAGAGCAAACATAACATCGAGCATGATATCGAGGAAAAAGATGATAAGAACAGTCCTACACAAAATTCAGCATCTAAAGATAACGAAATCATGGAAGTTGATGGTGTACAAGTCAAGGTATATATATTATTGAACAAATTAAATTTCTATTTGTACATATTTTTAATATATTTTATATTATTAATAAAGTATATATTTTTAATAGATTTATTTCATATTATAGGTAGAATCTGATGCAATGAGTTCACAGTCACAATCAGATGTAGAAGAGAATGAAATTACAGGATCAAGTTCTGCATGCCCAATTGTGATAGAAGAAGTAGAAATTGTGAAACAGGAAATTGTGAAGGAAGAAGAACAAATTGTGGAAGATATATTTGGTAATGACATTCTGTTACCTCGTGCAAATCCAGTCAGTACAAAAGAAAGAAGGGAAGTAAAGAAAAAGCAAGAAAGAGCTAGAAGAAGAAGAACGAGAAAAGATGCAGTATGTATATGATATTTGAATGTAGATTTGAGATGTGTATATTGCTTTGAGAATATGTTAATAATCATAGTATTGCTTTATAGGGTATTAGTATCCAATTTTACTGAAGATCAGTTAGACAGATATGAGATGTATAGACGATCAGCATTTCCAAAGGCTGCTATAAAAAGGGTATTGCCTTTAGTTTTAAGTATTATTAGTCAAAAAAGTCTATCTATTCTTCATTTTTTAAAAGTTTATATTATATATTTTAGTTTTCTATATATATTATTTTAATTATATATATATATATATATATATATATATATATGATATTTGAATGTAGATTTGAGATGTGTATATTGCTTTGAGAATATGTTAATAATCATAGTATTGCTTTTATAGGGTATTAGTATCCATTTTACTGAAGATCAGTTAGACAGATATGAGATGTATAGACGATCAGCATTCCAAAGGCTGCTATAAAATATATGTTTCAGATTATGCAAACTATAACAGGCTGTTCAGTATCGCAGAATGTTGTCATAGCTATGTCAGGATCGCCAAAGTATTTGTTGGTGAAATTGTTGAAGAAGGTATGAACTTTCTATGTAAAATGTAGCATTAGATTATTAGAATTTAATACTAAATTATTCCTTTAAATATAGCTTTAGATGTTATGGAGACTCAGAATGAAACTGGCCCATTACAACCAAAACATCTGAGAGAAGCTGTTCGCAGATTAAGGCTACAAGGTCAAATACTAAATGGTCGAGCGCACAAAGCTTTCTTTAGACTATAATTGATCCATATTTATAGTATATTAGTGCAATACTTTTCTCAGATAAAATTCTATCAATATTGAATTTTGAAAATCTAATCTAATCTAATGCGTAGTTTAAATCTAATTTTATATATATAAATAACATGTTATATAATTATATAATTATACTATTTATATTATATAATAATTTGTAAACAATTGTTGCACTAATTATATAATTGTAAATAAATTATATAATTTATCAGGAACCAAACAGATTTTCTGCATGTCTTCAAAAGTGATATTTTTTGCATATCTTTGCAAAACTATAATACTATTTGTTTTTATATTAAAAACATAACATTAGTATATTCTCAATCAGTATATTAAATTTATTAATCTTTTATAAACATATATAATTTTACTGACGACTAATTTATTATTTACGTCTTCAAATTAGAATATAAGCCGAATGTACTTACACAGTATGTTCAATAAATAAGGGGACTTTTTATTTAAATCATGGAACACGTAACGCCATCTATTGAACGTTGATAGCATTAGAAAGGTACAGGTCTCACCTTTCAAACGCAGCCAACTTCATGTAAATCGGTTGACAGGTTAAAAAGTTACGTGCTTTTTAATGACAGTATGTTTTGTGCTTGTGTCGTAAAAATACAATGGAAATATTAAATTTTGTTTTAAACTTGGAAAAACATTTAGTGAGACGTACGAATTGATGCAAAAGTGTATGGTGATGATTGTTTAGCTCGTTCAAAAGTTCATAAGTGGTTTAAACGATTTAAAAATGGTCGTGAAGATTTGAATGATGATGAAAGACCTGGTCGTCCAGAAGGAAGTAATCGTGCTGAATTGGTGGAAAAAGTCCGCGAAATCATTGCTGTTGTTGTCAAACTGTTAATGGAGAATACTATTTACAAGTTTTACATCGTTTGTGGTCAAGAATTGTTCGTGTTAGACCTGAATCCAGAGGGGAAACAGCTGTTTTTATTGCATGATAATGCACTACCTCACAAAACCAAAAAGTTCGTGAATTTTTGATGAAAAAACAGATTTGTGTCATCGACCACCCTCCGTATTCTCCTGATCTATCACCATGCGACTATTTTCTGTTCCCTAAACTGAAAACTGCCATGAAAGGAGCGTTTTACGATGATATTCCAGCCATTCAAGCAGCCGTGACACAGGTGTTAAAGAACATTCCTTTTAGATGACATGAAAGAGTCTATGCATAAATTGGTTGATCGTTCTAAACGTTGTATTGAGTTAAATGGAGACTATTTCGAATAAAAATAACTTTCAAACATAGTACGATACGTGTTTTATTCTATATCTTAAAAGTCCCTTATTTATTGA